ATTTATGAATTGATTTGTTTCAATAAGCAGTAAGATTTGCTAAGATGTTTAGTACTCGGTAGAAAAAGCCTTGTTGGCAAGCACAGCAGTACGGCTTTTGTTGTAGTTGGTCACCAGATTTGCGCAGATCTCAGGAGGGATTTCAGCAGACCTCTCTTTGCAGAAACTCTTTAGATTTCTTGGCTGCCACTTGGCAATTTGAAGCTTCAGCTCCATTCACAGATTTTCTATAGGACTACATTTCTGGAGACTGGCTAGGTCACTTCTGGCCAGACCACAATGTGCTTCTTCATTAGCCACTCCTTTGTTCCCTTCGTGGTTTTTATCATTCTGGATAACCTGTCCTTGTCTCAACCAAGATTTTATGATAGAGGGCCCTGTCAATGGTCCTTCAGTGTGGTAAAATTGTCCTCTGTCCTTTGCAGAAAAGCAATGCCAAAGCATATTTGCACCTCCATGCTTGACTCTGGAGATGGTTTTCTTTGGGTCACATTCAGCATTTCCCTTCCTTCAAACACATTTGGTCAAATTGATGCCAACGAGCTTGATTTTGGTTTCATCTGACCACAGCACTCTGTCCCAAGTGAAAATCACGAAGATGCAAAAATTAGGCTCGCATGTACATGTGCCTTCTCGAGCTGGGGAACCTTGTGGGTGCTGCAAGATTTCAATCCATTGTGGTGTTCTTGGTGACTGTGGTCCCAACTGCAATCAGATAATTAACAAGCTCTTCCACCACTTTTCTCATGGTCATCCTAACCCCAGGTTCTTATATAGCACTTTTCTACTGTCATTGAGCACTCAAAGCACTTTATACAACTCATCCATTCAGCCCAATAATACGATTGTTTTTAGTGCTTCTATCTAACATTGACTCGCATTCACACTCCGATGGATGCATCGTTTGCAACATGGGGTTAATATCTTGCCCAAAGATATTTGGCATGTAGACTGGAGGAGCCTGGGATCGAACCACCAACCTTCAGGTCTCCTTGAGTAGGTGACCCGCTCTACCACCTGAGCTACAACCACCCCGACAATAGGCAAGATCTTCCATGGACCTCCAGACTCGGCGTGATTGATGACTGTCACTTTTGCACTGAGCTTCTTGCTGATGGTCTTGTAGTCCAGTCCAGTCTTGTCCAGATCTACAGTCTTGTCCCTGATGTCCTTTGAAAGCTTTTGGTTTTACCCAGGTACTCTTCCAATGAGGTTGGAAGGGAAGAAATTGACTCTGTGCATGTTACTAATTGAGATCTGATTGATTGTAATCTGTAATATTTTTGGTTGTACCATATCTCTTCATTAAAATGAGAGACTGTTCATTTCTTTGTTAGTGAGCAAACGTAGCCAGGGATCAGGTGCAAGTTAATCACAACAGGTGAGGCGCAGTCTTCCTTTTCTGGATGGTGGCAGACAAATACATTTACTTCCATTAAAGAAACCTCCTTCCATGCAGCCATACATTCTGTTTACCTAAATGGGAAAATGTCTTTGTTGGAGATGTGCTGCATAACTCACCAACATTTTACCCTGTTGCAGACAACCCAGCGATAGCCAACATCGAGCTGATCTCAGACACAGGGAAAAGTATTAACCTGGGACCCCAGCATGTGTTCTGTGACTTACCCCTCACCATGCGCCTCGACACCCACAACGTTGCCATCGCTGCCATAAAACTCTGCACCTTTGATGAGAAAATGGAGATCGACGCAGCCATGCTGTCTTCAGGCCCTGGCAGCCCTCTGTGCTCCAGCTGCCAGCCTCTACTCTACCACATTCGCCGTCAGCCACCTTTCACCAGTAAAGCCCCCTTACCACAGACCCAGCAGACATTCACGGACAGGTAAAGGCTACCTGACCCATCTGATTTACTATGTTTCACTCACAGGTAACAAGATGGCTTTCTGTTTTTTTCTCAGACCACACAAAACTCCTTTGACATTCTTGGTTCTCTGAATATCTATACTAGGGCTGCCACGATTAGTCGACACGTCGTATGAAGCTTTGAAAGATCCTGAAAGACGC